TGTGTTGTGACTACAGCTGTAACTAATTATAAGATGATTCAAAAGAAGAATACCCTGAATACATCTGAGAAGATTGAGCATGCTCTCCAGTTTACCTGTACTTCTACAACTGGTTGTACCTCTACTTCTACTGCTGGCTGTGGTGGTGCATCCTTGTCCTTGTCTGTCTGCAGGACAGTGAGGGAATTCGTATTGTTAGTAAAAGCCAACAAAACAGAATAATGCGCATAATGAAAAACTGAATTATTCCAGTCCTAGAGCATGTGCTCCGCTCGTTATGATCAGATGTAACATTTTAAGTGACATTAAGATGTGCCCGCTGTTAGGATCCAGTGTGTCTTAGTGACTGCAACATTATGAGGGATGTTTAGAAGCACTGTTAAGATTTTTAAATATAATAACAAATGGAGAAAAATGCCTCTGCCAAAAAAGTTGTTTTAGAGCAGTTTTAATACCAGATGTATTAATGAAATGACTCTGGTTAATAATGCATCTATTCTCCAGAGGTAATTTTACTGTATTTACCACTCCAGTTGTTCTCCTGAGGAGCCGAACTCCACTTGTGGAGGCTGCCTGGACTTTTGTGGTCATGTGGTCTAACAGTACCTCAAATTCACATGAATGTGTTACTTTATGTTTAGTAATCCTACCACAATTTATACTCAGAGATTTTAAAAAACCATGAAGGCTTACGTGAACAGGTCCTTACTTTAGGCTTGAAGAGAGAAAAGCGAGATAGTGTTTTCTTTAGTTCCTTAAGAGGCTGTGGCAGTTCTGGCTTTGCTTCGGGCTTTGCTGCAGCCTCCAAAGTGTCAGCTTTTGAAGAATCCACCTTCTTTTATCAAAACGGCGGAGAAGAAAATACATATGAGGTATTTACGCATTTAAAGGCAGGACCAGGATTGAAGCTGACAGAGTAAGGGCAGCAGCTGCCACCTGTGAAGTGAAAGAAGAGGTAAAAGGGGAGGAAGAGTCCAGGCAGGATCAGAGCAGAAAAGGAGGCAGAAAAATCTGATATGAACCAGTCCCTGTAAGTGAAGAAGCCCGCAACATCATGCACAAAAGTAAATAAGGTTATTGTCTGGAAGGGAAAAAAAGACAAGAAAATAGGAAAGGGAATGTCTCCACTGAAGATTCCTCCTTTGAATGAATAGTTTGACACGTTGGGAAAAAAAGGTTATTTGCTGTCTTGCCAATTGATGAGAAGATTTATACCATTTTTAATCCCTTTTATGTACTGTATGATGCAGGAGATGGTTAGCTTAGCTTGACATAAAGAATGGAAACAGCTGGAAACAACTTGCCTGGCTCTGTCCAAAAGTAAGGAAATTGTACTGTTTAACAAGATAAACTATATTTTCTTTGTTAATCCAACAAAATGAAAGTGGAAAGTAAAAAGAATATATAACGTGTTAATTAGTGAGCTTTAAAGCTGCCAATAGGCGGATCTTGTTACCCTCGGACAGAGCCGTGCTGTTAGCCAGACTAGCTGTTTCAAGCCTTTATGCTAAGCTATAAGCTAACCGGCTGCTATGCCTCATACATAACAGACACAGATGAGAGTGTTCTTCTCATCTAACTCTCGGCAAGAAAGCATATAAGCGTACATCCCAAAATGTTGAACTTCCTTAATTTACCTCAGCTTCTACCACAGGCTGTGGTACCTCTTCCACCATCTGCAGGAAAGGAAAATGATTTGTCTTCCCATCAATTTAAATGCAGATACAAAAACTGGTGATGAAAATGGATAAAATCCTTTAAAAATAAATGAATCAAAACATGATAAAATAATGACTGCAAATGCCAAATTGCATGTGTGTTGACTGAAAATAAATGAAAGATTATTTTTGGTTAACATAATATTTGGTACATCTGGTACAACATCATGTCAGAGGTGCATGCAGAGCAAAGCAAATTAAGATTTAATATTCCCGAGCCCTTTCTGCTGATATACCTGCTCTACTGGCTGTGCCACCTGCTCTGCTGTGTCATGGGGTTCAACATTATCTTCACTCTGAGCAGATAAAAAGGAATAAGAACATGCCAATTTTCTTTTTGCAATTTAGAACATGGTGATGTGATTTAATCAGAGGATTATTCCACTCCCTAAAAAAGACCAAACCCCAACATTAAGAACTCTCCTTTGATTTACCTTGACTTCTACAACACATGGCACTGGCACTTCCGCTGGTGTCTCCTGCAGAGCAAAGCTATACTTTTTTATTCTGAAGAGATGCAAAATTAAGATGGACACATGAAAATGCTGTAATTTACTGTATCTGGTTTATGTGTTGTGACTACAGCTGTAACTAATTATAAGATGATTCAAAAGAAGAATACCCTGAATACATCTGAGAAGATTGAGCATGCTCTCCAGTTTACCTGTACTTCTACAACTGGTTGTACCTCTACTTCTAC